GGTGAAGCACGCGCTGAAGGACAAGCTCAGCGAGGGCGACCATCGCTGGCTCGACGGCGAGGGGAACGCCACGTGGGACCCAGCAGCCCGGAGCGGCTCCGACGCCATGCTGCCCAAGGGCATCGGCCACATCAAGCTCGCCGACACGAAGCACCTGGTCTGCTCGATCGACGGCCCGATCGGCACGGTTCGCTGGCCCACAGAGGGCCCGGGCGGACCGGGAGGGGCGTTGGTCCACATCCCGGGGAGCTGCGACGGGCGCATCCGAGCGCTGTCGCCCGAGGAAGTCTGGATCGTGCAAGGGGGCGACGAGGCGGATTGGGTGGCGAGGCGGGCCCAGGGCGACACCCTGGATACCCTGATGCGGGAAGCTGCGAGGTCCTTGCCGCCAGAGACGGCGAGAGCTGTCCTGGGCGCCGTCGCGGAGTCCGCCGCCTGGGAGACGACCCGGAGGTGGCTCAGGGCTTGGGCGCAGGGCGAGCTCCGCGTGAAGGCCGAGGACGCAGAGGACGACCGACGCGCGGGAGTGCTAAGCGACGATGTTCACAAAGCGAGGCGCAAGAGCCAAGGCGTCCGCTTCAGAGCGATCGAGGAGGACCTCGCGCGGGGGCCCGAGCCCCCACCTGACGCCAAGGAGGTGGACCTGAATGCGGTTGTCGACACGCCCAAGAGGCGGCGGAGGCGGAACCCCAACAGGGGCAAGAAGAAGGTGGATACCCAGATGCTAGTCAAGCCGATCGCGCTGGGCCAAGCCCGGGCTGCCATCGCCTTGCCGGACCGCCCGACCCTGGGAGGGGGGGACTACGGCAGGTGGATCGAGGAGCAGAAGCGCGAGGCGCTGATGCTGCGGCTGTCTGAGGGGGCCCGCGCCGGCTACGAGACCGGCTGGCGACAGTGGCAGGGCTTCAGGGCAGCCCAGGGCGAGTCGCCCTGGCTCGAGGGGCGCGACCGCGAGGGGCGCTACGCTAACGAGGAAGCGTCGCTGGGATTCGTCATCGCGTTGGCCAGGGTGCTGAAGCGCACAGAAGGCACGATCAAACAGAAGTTGTTTGCCGTGCGTTTTGCCCACCTCGTAGTCGGCTATCCTGACCCTCCACTCCACCGCGGCCGCCTCTGGTCCACGCTCGCCGGCCTCAGGAGGGGCCAAGGGCCGAGCGGGCGGAAGCGGCCTGTGACACCGCGCATGCTCTTGTGGCTCCACGGCTTCCTGAAGGGCCAGACCGACCTCCCCGCGACGGATGCCACGGTCCTGTGGGCCGCCATGGTTGTGGCTTTCTTCTTCATGTTGAGGGCGTCCGAGTACTTGATCCAGCCGGGAAAAACGTGGGGCCAGGAGCGCGTCGTGCGCGGCGTGGACATCACGGGCCGTGACAGCAACAACCAGCCCTGCGCCTTCAGAGACGCAGTGGAGGTGGTGCTCCACATCACCTCTTCGAAGACGGATCAATATAATGTGGGGTGTGTGAGGAACCAGTGCGAGACGGGCACGCCGCTGTGCCCGGTGGCCGCTATCCGCCAGCTGGAGCAGCACTACCCGCAGAGGCTGCGAGGCAGCGAGGAGGAGCTCCCACTCTTCCGCTGGGCGAACGGTGCACCCATCCGCCGCGAGGAGGTGCAGCACTACTTGACAGTAGCAGGGCTGGCCGCCGGGCTGAGGAAGGAGGAGATCGGCTCACGCAGCCTCCGCATAGGAGGCGCAACGGCGATGTACCATGCCGTGGACGACCTGCAGCGCGTCAAGCGCTTCGGGCGCTGGGCCTCCGACAGCTTCCATGGGCACCTGTGGGAGAGCCACGAACCCATGCGCGGCATCTCGACCGACATGGCGACAGACACGTCCGAGCTCACGGCGCCGCCGGCCCACGCGGCCGAGAGCGAGCACCGCGCGGGCAAGGGCCCGGCCCCGCTATGGCCCGGAGCTGCGCTGGCCGCGACGACGCTCTCCTCCGCAGCCGGCGGGGCGGGCGGCTACGTGATCAAGGTCGACCCGGCGGAGAGCCAGAACCTACTGATCTTCGTGCTCCCGGTCAGCTTGACGACGTGGGCAGTGAGTGGCAGCGGGGGCGCTGCTAGCGGCGGTGCTGCTGGGAGCTGTTTGGCAGTGCAGGCGGCAGCGAAGGAGTGGACGGGCAGCCAGCGGGCGCAGCAGCAACCGCAAAGCCCGCAACCCCCGGGCGAGCCTGCCGTGCGCAGCGCTAATGGCAACGGCGCTCGCAACAGCAGCGGGGGAGACACAGAGCCAGGAGATGGCGGCGGTCGACGACAAGACCCAGGGGGTTATACTTCGCTGGGAGCCGCAGATGAGCACGGTGGCGATCGTCTTCCCGGTGGAGACGGCGCTGAAGGTGGTGGCCATGATCGCAGTGCTGCTCGCGGCGGGCATCGGGGTGCTTTGCTGCTGCTGCTGCGAGATGGCCAAGAAAAGCGGGAAGGTGCCGGAGCATGAAGCACAGCGGGCCGTGGTGCAGCCGACGCCCAAGGCGCCCAAGCTCCCCAAGCAGCCGCAGAAGACGTACTGCGACGCGGGAGTGATGGGCCCGGTGCATTACAACAGCGTGAGGTACGTGCACGAGACCAGTGAGGTGACACGGGAAGTGGCCCCGCCAGGGCACCGCGGGCAGCCAGAATGGTCCCGAGGAAGAGAACCGAGGCCGCATCGTGACTGAGGTGCGCGGCTGCCGCCGGCCAGCGGCCGAGCGGGCAGCAGAGGTCCGCCGCCGGCGCCCGCCATGCGAGCGGCCGCGCGGCGCCGGCTGAGTTCAGCCTGGCGCTCGCGATCAGTTTTGCGTTTGCGAGCAGCTGGGCGCGGGGCGGCAGCAGCTGGCGCCTGAGGGCAAGAGCGCCGCGCCGGCCTGGCAACCGGCAGTGCCGTCAAGGGGGGGCGGCGGTGGCGGCTACGAGGGGGGCGCCGGCGGCCAGCCCAGCCAGGGCTGCCGCACAGGGCGCATGAAGAACCACCGTGGGCGCCGGCGGCGTGCCGCCCTGCGCCTGCGGACCCACCTTGCTGGGCAGACGTGGCAACGTGCCGCGGATGCCAGGACTGTTGAGTTCCACGCCGAGAGGACCGGCGGCTACGTGACCCACTACGGCCAGCTCGGCGTGGTGGTGCATTCACAGGAGGTTGGCGGCGTGGCCCGCGACGCGTGGCCCAAGACAGGCGCCGGCGCGCCAGGCGCCAGGCGCCAGAGGAGCAGCACGGTTCCTTGGCAAAAAGGGTGCACGCTCATCGTCATCATCGTCTGAGCGCCACTTCCTCCTCTCGAGCCTCACCTCACTAGGCTCAAGTTGTTTTTAGTTTACCAGTGCTGCTTGAGGGGATATCTAGGATGTTTGGTAAAACTGATGGATATCCTCGTTTCCAGAACTGGCGCGGGCTTCCACTTGCGGTCCCCTTGCTCCTGCCCTTGCCTCCTTGCTTGCCCTTTCCCGCTTCTTCCCCTCTCTCCGCCGCTTGGCGGCTCAAGCCTTTTCAAAGGCCAAGCTGGCCCACCCTGGGGGCATACAGGCCCCCTTCCCGCCCTGTTCTGGATTTTTTCAGCGCCGCCGAGGCGCTCGGGCGCTTCGGCGGCGTGGCCCGCGACGCGTGGCCCAAGACAGGCGCCGGCGCGCCAGGCGCCAGGCGCCAGAGGAGCAGCACGGCTCCTTGGCAAAAAGGGTGCACGCTCATCGTCATCATCGTCTGAGCGCCACTTCCTCCTCTTGAGCCTCACCTCACTAGGCTCAAATTGCTTTTAGTTTACCAGTGCTGCTTGAGGGGATATCCGGATCCGGGGCGGGTTCCACGGGGCAGCCTAAAAAGATGCCCACTGGAACACATACGTATGTCGTCCTTCCCCCCTCTCCCCACCATCGTCATCGTCATCGTCATCATCATCGCGATCATCGTCGATGCCATCAGCATCCTGAAGCCACTTATGGTCAACCCCATTTGGCAACAAAAACTATCGTACGGGGAAACGGCCAGCCAGGACCTCTGGGGCCGCGGATCGAAACACCATATCTTTGAAGGCTTAACGACTTCTGCCGTCCTTCGACTCGCGCTGGAGCGGCCGCGAGTTGCTCCAACTTTCCCTGGAGATCTCTGGTTTTGCCTGGATTCCCCCAAATTTCTCGATTTACCTGGATTTACCTCGATTGATCTGCATTTACCTGGATTTATCTGGCTCGATCCCCACGAGTCGATTGGCGAAAAGTCGACGCGCCCTCAGGGACCATGTATCGGAGGATGCCTGGGGGCACCAGCCCGCGGCCAGGGAAAACCTCCAGGAAGCGAAGACCACCTCCACAAGCGCTCGGATCGGTGACGGCCTCCCCACCCGTGCCTTCCCCTAAGACGAAGCCAGGACGAAGATAAATCGGACAAGGATGAGCCGAGAATATTTCAGATCTGGCGGCTCTGGAAGATGGCTCGGGCGCCGCGGCCTTCACAGAGCAATCCGGAACGCTCTGAGAGCGCTCCGGAACGCTCTGGAACGGATTCATCCTCGTCCTAGCCCCGTCCGATCCCCCCCCTCCCCAGACATCCTGTGCTCGAATTTTTTCGATGCGTGAACCCCTGGGGATCTGGACCACTTCCCGGGGGGCTGGCTCTTCATCCTGAGTCACGTTTGGCCCACTGCGAAGCCCGTTGAGGGCCCCTGGGAGGCCAAGCAGTGGCAAACAAAAACCGGCCGCTCCAATTTTGTCGGCCCAAGGGAGGGAGAGGGAGGGAGGAGCAACAGCGAGGACGAGGGGAGGGAGGGGAGAACAACAGGGGGGCAGAGGGAAGAGGGGAGGGGAGGAGGAGGAGGAGGAGGAGGAGGAGGAAGGAGGAGTAGAAGGATGAGGACGAGGCCAAAAATTGACAAAAATGTTGTCGGAGCATCGGATCTCTGGGCCTCGTTCGGCCCCGCTTCTAGCCCAGCTGCGGTCGCCTCCCCCAGTGGCCAGGGCGGGCCCTGGCGGCGGCAACGCGCGGCCGTGGCGATGGGGCTCGACCCGCGCGCGCGCCCGCGCTCGCCTCAGTGGCGCTCGGGCTCGGGGGCCTCCTCCGCCTCGACAGGCGGCTGCACCTCTGAAGAGCCCTCCTCCTCCTCCTCCTCCTCCTCCTCCTCCTCCTCCTCATCATCAACATCATCAGCAGCATCATGAGCATCATCATCAACATCATCATATTCGCCATCATCATCAGCATCAGCATCCTCATCATCATCACCCTCATCAGCATCCTCATCATCATAATCATCCCTATCATCATCAGCAGCATAATCATCATCATCATCAGCATCCTCATGATCATCAGCAGCATGAGTATCACAAGCATCATCATAATCATCATCATCAGCATCATCGTAATCAGCATCGCCATCAGCAGCAGCATCATTATCGTCAACATCATCATCATCATCAACATCATCAGCAACAGCAACAGCAACAGCATACTTATAATACTGATAACGATAAGCGATACCATTATTGCTAATAACATTTTCTATGTTCCGCTTATTCAAAGGTTGGAACTCTCAGTTTTACCCCGTCCATGCCAACTCCTTCACATTCACTCCCCCTCTCCTCCTCCTCATGCTATGTTATGGTATGTGATGCTATGTTATGCGATGTCATGGTACGTCATATTATGTCATGGTCTGATATGGGTTGTCATGGTATGTTATGGTATGTCGTGGCTTATGGCATTGCAGATATGTTATGTGAGTGTATGATATGATATGGTACGTTATGCTGTTACACGTTGTTATGGTATGATATGTCGGATGCTGTCATGGTATGGTAAGTTCTGCTGCGATGAAGATGATGCTGCTGGTGATGATGGTGATGCTGATGATGGTGCTGCTGGTGATGATGATGGGGGAACAAATTCTGAGGATGTCTCGAGCGAGGCGCGGGTTTCAGCACCCCCAAGGGGGAACCGCCAAGGGGTATTGTACTCCTCCGCTCGCGCCAAAAACTGCGGGGATGTCGAGCGGGGTGCCTGTGTTGGTGACCAACATCCTCCGCTTTCGGAGCAGCTTTATGTCTCGAGCGAGGCGCTCATTGTCGCCCCCATGGGGGAGCCGCTACGGGGTATCTCAATCCTCCGTTCGCGCCAAAATGGCGGAGATGTTTCGAGCGGGATACCTGTGTTGGTTCCCAGCATCCTCCGCTTCCTGAGCAGATTGAAGGCCGATTTCGAGGATGTCTAGAGAGAGACCCCAGGAGGAGGAGGCATCACAAGGCCACAGGAGTGGCTCCAATCCCATGTGTTTACGTATGTTCCTATAGATTGGGCCTCACCTGGGGCACGAATCCTTGGTGTGTTACATATGTTTCTATCGACTGTCGTTCTCCTGCGTATCCACTCCTAAATGTTTTACGTATATTCCTATAGATTGGGCCTCTCATTTGTGCACGAGTGCTTGGTGTTTTACGCGCCTTCCTATAGATTGACCTTCTCCCGCGGCTCCACTCCGCAGTGTTTTCCGTACGTCTGTTCCTATAGATTTGGCCTCTCGGGCACGAATCCTATCCAGAAGGCCCCAAGCGGCTCCAAGAGACCCCAGGAGGCTGTGACATGGATCGGCGCGCAGCGCCGGGGATGTTTTTGCTGTGTGCGCGGCTCGAACAACTGGCGTAGCACTCAGGCCAAGGGCCCTGATAAATAAAAAAGGCACCGGCGAGCAAGGAATGAAACCGCAGGCCCCTCGAGGTTTCTGGGGGAAACCCGCTCGGGCCTCTTGTATTCGTGGGGAGCGAGTTTGATTCACACTCCTCCTAGGACATGCTCGGATCGCCGTCTCGGGCGTCAGAGCGGGGACTATAGCGAACAAGTCACTCGCCGGCAAAAACCACGGAGATAAGCAAGCACACGGCTTGCATTGTGTAGCATACAAGGTATACTCAGCAATGGCCAGGGTTCAATCGCGATGCGACAAAACCCAACATATATAGCCATCTTCTCAAGATACTAAACGAGTGCGATCGTCATCGCAAACAAAAACTGTGCGCACTGAGTCGAATGAAGCTTCTCGAAAAACAAAAAAAAACGCGGAATTATGTGTGGATCTCTATCCGGGTGTAGAACACAGCGATATCGGGATACGTAAATCTTGACCGGACGTAGTGTTGGCAACGATGGGAATACATAAATCTTGGCCGGGCGTATCGTAGGGGCGGTAGAACATGTCCGGTCCGATCGGCCAAACCGCCGTCAAACAAAGCGGGGTTCACTTTTGCTTCGGCTTCGCCGGCTTGTCCGCTAGATCGGACCCCCGCCAAACATCTCTGCCTGTGAGCTTCCACCAGCGGCCCTTGAGGTCATCCATCGCACTCTCTGGGAAGATCGTGAAATCGGGATTTCCGAAATGATAACGCCGAAGCAGCCACGAAGCGTGCTCCCTGCAGGACTTGCAAGTGATGTACACACTATGCGGGTTGTGGCCGATGACCATATCATGATGAGGAATGCCAGTCACGCAACTGAGCATGTCATTCGGCTGCACCATCGGGGAGGATCCGCTCCGCGACACAATGCTGGCTGATGAAGCTGAAACGGAACTCGATGAACTTGTCACGGGAACCACGGTTGGCGATGCAGGAGCCGAACTTCCCTGCGACCTTCCTGATCTTGATCGTCCAGATCCCCGTGCTGATGCTGCAGGGTACGGCGATGGCGGCGCGCTGGCTGGCGTTCGTTCTTTCGGTACCTGTGGCGGCGGCGGCTGCTGAATCGCAGCCGACGCTACTGGGCTTGATGCCTGTACGCTGCTGAAAACGTCGCATGGGACATGGTGATGTCGCCATCGTGATCTCGATCCTCTGGAATCGTAGGTGGTATGTTGCGGCGTCTGGCGAGCACGCGGCCGTCCCAGCCAGGGTGCTCGCCCACGGCCTTCGCCTCGGCGGCGCTCTCCTCGTTGGCGATCGCGTTGTTCTGCTTCAAGATCGCCCAGAGCGTCATGAAGATGCCGAAACCGATAGTCATGCCGAGGACCAGCGTGAACGTCAGCAGGCAAATATAAAAGCTGTTGCCCTCATAGTCGGCGCGGGCGCACGCTGTCCCTTGACCTTGCCGACGCAGGTGAACAGGACTGATGCGAGCATGGCAGCGCGTGGCTGTCGGGCCCCATGTGTGTTTGCGAGCCCCGAAGAACGACAGCAGGACGCCCGCCTCCATCATCTTCGCCAATGCGTCCGCGACCATGGCCCAGGTCGGGATCCAGCTGAGCTTGAGCGCACTGTTGGGGTGCACGGCCTCCTTGATCATGGTGGCGACGATGCGGAGACACTTGTCAGTAGACTGGCCCGCACCTGAAGCGATGTGCGTCACGAGACCCTTGCTGCCGCTGTAGACCTCCCCAAGGCGCTTGTCGGCGAGCACGTCGATCTGCTTGTGCGCCGTCTTGGGGTTGTAGGCCTCGGTCAGCAGCTGTCGGAACCACATGTTGGTCTCCGACCCCATCGAGGGTGGCGTAGCCCTGGGCAGCGAGGGTCGACTTCACCGACCTTTTGACTGTACCAGAGTGCCAGGCGACGGGCAGGCACAGGTCGCACCAGCCGCCGACGACATCACGCGGGCGATGGGTGAGCTCCATCACCATGCCCCGCTGGCTCTTGACGCCGCCCACGTTGGCGAACGCGGCGTCGCTGAAGCACGCGGTGATCGCCGTCTTCAGGTCGACGAGCTTGCGCTTGAGCACGATCTCGAAGTTCGCGGTGGAGTGCACATATGCGACAGTCTCGTTGAGCGTCTTCGCGTCGGCCACGGTAGCGACGTTGGTGCGTCGAGCTGCACAGCTCACCGGGCAGGCGATGCCCACCCGGGTCTGCGCTGCTAGCCACAACAGCTGCCCGAGCGTGCGGCGGTAGTTCGTCACCTCGGTGGTGGTGAGTCGGTCCTCAGCTCCTCGGCCATTCTGGGCCTTCAAGTCGACGTAGTCCACCTGCGCGGCAGCGGTGGCCTGGGTCACGCGGAACTCGACGTCGAGCTTGGTAACCGTACGTCCGCAGTACTTGATGGTCCCTTCGACTGGCTTGAGGTGTAGCTTCTTCCCCAGCGGTGTGATAGTGGCCTTCCACTTGGTGGAGTTGTTGCGCTGGGCGATAGGGAAGTCACCCACGTGTGAGTGGACCGCCGCGGCGAGCCCACCTTTGTCATAGAAGCAGTAGTGGCCCTTCTCGAGCTTGCTCTCTACGAGACCATGCTCGGCGAAGACCTTCTGCGCATAGAGGTGCCGCTGCCTCCCGGCGTCGCGCGTCCCGTAGATCGCGCCTGTGGCCATCGATCTCGCCAGGCTGGGTCCCCGGCGGCGGGTTCTTGGTCGGCATGCGCAGGAGCAGTAGCCTCTCAATGTTACCCGACTGCAGGTAGGCCGTCATCGCGTCGCAGGTCGAGATGCCCCAGCCCTTCTGGGCCGCGGCGGCCAGGGTCAGGTGCAGCGCGCCCCCTAGACCCTGGCGGCGCGTCCGCCCTGATCTGCGACTTGTTCTCGTGGCGACCCTGCGCGACCAGGCGTGCCTTCGTGATGTTCTGGCCCTTGCTGGTCAGCATCCAGCGCGCGCCCACAGGGCGGATGCCAGGGTTGCGCCGCAGGAGCTCCTTTCGACCCTTGGGCGGGAGCTTCTTGTAGGCGCCAAACTCCGTCCACTTGGACCACTCGGTCTTCGTGGCGGTGTCCATGTTCTTCTTCTCGGTGGCACTCAGCGCGTCGTACTTGAGCGCGTTGCCCGTGAGAAATGCCTCACAGAGTCGCGTGCTTGCGTAGAGCTCGTCCGCTTGCTTCTGGAACTCGTGTCTAGGTAGAGGTCGACCTTGTTCGTGTCCTTCGGCCTCTTGAAGCACTTGGGCAGATCGTCCAAGAGATCCTTGCGCTTGGCAGCGCGCTCGCGGGGTCCGAGCTCGTGCTGGCGGTCACGTTGCATTGCCACTGGTGCGTTCACGTGTTGAACTTGGCGCTGCGCCTTGGCGCCGCGCTGGTTCTCGGTGTCCGCTGGGCGCCGCGACGTCGTCTCCTGGCGCGCCTGCCCCTCCGCAATCCTGGCCCATTCTCGGACCATGTCCGAGCCATCGGACTCGATGTCATCGTCGACCGGGCCCTGAGGGGCAGGT